TCAACTAATGAAGTTTCCATATCACAAATATCTCCTTTTACAGTTATTGGTAAGTAAATGGGAACATTGGGTTTTCCTACAAGTTTAGCTCCAGGAGCTACAGAGGGGTAAAATGTATAAATAATATTGTTAGGTGAATTATCTAAATAAGACCCTGATATAATACTATTTTTTACATGTATAGTATTAATATGATTTATATATAATGTTTTTTCAGATTCATAAACACCTGCAGTATATAATTTACTTTGAAAACCTAAAAGATTTCTGATTAATTTTTCAATTGTAAAATCAACTGCAAAATTTGTTGCAATAGTCATTTTAACTCTAAATGTTGTTGTATTTCCTACAAAAGTAATTGAATTCATAGGAAGTTGAGAAGCAACTAATTGATTTTGCATCCAGTCATTGATCGAAGTAAGTTCATAGACCCCTTCTGGAATATTGTGATTAGCTGTCGATGATTTTTTAGTAGTTGCATCATAAATAATATAAGTAAATTTATTGTTGTTTTCAGTAATATCATTAAGTAAATGATATGTTTCTAAGCTTATTAATGCCATTTTATAATCTTTTTTTCAATCAAGTGGAATAGCTAGTAAAAACTTTTTTGTTATTGTTGAAGTAACTCCTCCAATACATTTATCCATTTATATATATATATATATATATATATATATATATATATATATATATATATATATATATATATATATATATATATATATATATATATATATATATATATATATATATATATATATATATATATATATATATATATATATATATTTATTTATTTTTTTATATCATTTTATAATATAAAAAATTTAGCTAAGCATGGATACCTTCAGTATCTACTTTACTTCTCTGAGGTGAAATTGTATCATTATTCTTTCTTTACTCATCTATAGCATGACGACCATCATCCACTATTTTAACTGTCATTTTTGACAATGTATCTGTTTTTAATGGTAAATAATTTCTAAAATTCGGTTCTTCAACAAGACTCATTCCTGAAGGACGAGTTATAGGTAGAAATGTATGCATTACACTAGTTTTTTTACCATTGATAATCTTACCATCAACAAGATCATTTAATATATGTAAGCATTTTTTTTGAGATGAAACGCTGTAGTGAATAGTTTCTAATCTTATAAATGCCACTTCGTATTTTTTTGCTTTATCAAGTTCAATAATAGGATCAAATTGAAATATAGTGATATTTGATTTCTATTTATGTACTTCAATATCCATTCTTTATATTTATAATAATTATTTAAATTATTATAAATCATTTTATAATTTACTTACTTTATTTTTCATAAACAACGGCATCTGATAATTTGACTTGTATAGATTGAATCGTTGAGCCGATATAAACACCTTCAATTCTTAAACAACCAACAATATAACATCTTTTTTTAATAAGATTATGCCCTGAAATTTCATCATCATCTGCAGAACTAAATACAGTCTCCATCTTAACATCTTTATCTTCTTTTGGTATTTTTGCAAAAATGACAGGAGGTTTATTTTCATTACATTTTAGAATTTTTAAGTTGTCAGTATTAAAATTCTTCACTTTATTTTTTAATTGTTTTTCTTTCATTTCATCTCTACAAAGTTTCTCAATAGATTGAATCATTGTAATAAATTTTTTTTCTTCTTCAGTTTTTCCTTTCATTTCATTAAAACAAACAAGTGGAGTTGAATATCCAGTCAGTTTATTCGTTTTTAAATCTCTATTTTCACAAACTCCGTATAAAAACAATTTTGATGTTTTGACTATTAGTGCTCTGCTAGTTTTATTATAACCAATTCTCATTTTTTGATAATGAGCAGGTTTATAATAATTAAATACTACATCAACACCCAACTTTTCCTCATCAAAATTTTCAAAAAAAAAATAAACATCTTAATAAAATGAATAAAATGTATCTAAATTATTGAAAATAGCAAAATAAAAAAAATAGATTTAATATATAATCAGAATTTAGATCATACTCCAACTCATGTTAATAGTAAAAAATATCGAGTATTTGCACAGCAAGATTTTGTAGTAAAATCAAATACATATTTGCACATTTCTTTAAAGTGTGGAGTTGAAATACATGAAGGGCATGTATTAGTTAAACTTACAGAAAAATAGAAACCATATTTACACTTACTTAATTCTGTAATAGCAGAGTCTACTGATGATATTGTAGTAACTTTATATAATAATGATAAAGAAGATATAAAAATTGAAAAAGGAAATTGTTTATTCTATATTTTATCTTATAATGGAATTGTAAATATAATCAGTTATATATCTAATTCTTATGGATCCGAAGGATCTAGTAGAGCATTGGTCTCAAAGGAACCTAATAAAAATGTTAAACCAAAAAAAAAACTAAAAGAAGTACCAAAAAAATGATATAGATTTTGTTAAATCTATATTATCACGTATAGGAGATTCATTTATAGATAATTTACTTAATCAAGATAATCAATCTAATACTCGTAAACATGATTTATTAAAATAAAATTAGTTGAGATCATATTAATCTGATTTAAAATAAAAATACTTCTTTATAAAATGGAATATAACAGGGAATATAAAAATGAAGAGTGCAAAAATAAAGAATGTAAAACTATTTATCCAGATATTAGCAAGTTTAGAGTTAATCCAACTGCTCCACCACGATCAGCTCAGAATTGGCGAATAGATGAGATAAAAGATATTAAAAAAGAAATAAAAGAAGAAAGATATAAAAGAGCTACATTGAGTAAAAAATATCATAGAGCTTCAAGAATAATTTCAGCTGTTAATAATTCATTAATAGCTAGCATAATGACACTTGGAGCTGTTGGTATAGGTCTTTTATCAACTATAGTAGTAGCACCAGTGGCTATTGCACTCGAAGGAGCTGCATTAGGTGCAGGTGTATTTTCATTAATAGGATTTCAAGTTATTAAAAAATTAAACATAAAAACAACAAAGCATGAAAAGATTAAAGTATTAGCTGATGCAAAAATAAATACTATAAGAGATTATATTTCTACAGCTAAAGAAGATGGCAAAAGCGATGACGTAGAATTTAAAATAATACTTGGAGAACTTCAAAAGTATATATCAAGATGCAGTAAACGAAAAGCTTGGGTATGATGACTTACAGTATGACTTGAGTAATTTATACAAACCTATTATTGATAGTCAATCTGGAATAAAAGAAAACTTGTCTAAATTAGAAAATAAAGCTGATCATTTAGCTATCACTCTTTCAACTTATCCTGCAATAATGGGTATACCTGAAACTAAAGAAATAACAAGTAAAGATGTTAAATCTGATGTGAAACTTGATAGCAAAATAATTTCATTAGGAACTATAGCAACAAATTATCTACAGTTAGCATATAGTAATAAGAAAGCAACAGATACTACATTCGGTATACACTCAAAAGATAAAAAATTGTATATAGGAAAAAAACTAATATTAATTAATAATAATGATATAACTGTTGATGATAAAAAATATATTGGAACTACTGGTCTTTGGGAATTGTTGACAAAAGCTAGTCCTGATAAAAATATATATAATGAAGATGATCTTGAAAATTATAAAAATATAATGAAACAAACAGATGCCATTTCTTCTAGTAAATATCCAGGAAAACCTAGATCATCTAGAAGTGACAAATATAGTAAGATAATAAAACCAATTTGTGAAGAGATAACTGGAAAATCTGGAAAAGGAGTCATCTTTCTTCCTAGCACTCCAGATGCACTATTTGAAAGGCTTTATACGCTTATAGCAGCATTTGAAGCAGGTAATACTGGAGTTAGAAATAAAGCTGTTTAAATTTGTGATGAATTATTGCGTCAAGGTGTACTGAATAATGAAGAGTATAAATCAATACAGAACAATTTTAGATCTCTTTAGAGACCAATACTTTGTTAGATTTAAATAAAAATAATATGTAAATAAAAATGTTAATTGTTGAGAAAAGAGTTTTTAAAAAGCATTTTGTTAGTGAAAGTGGTATATTTGATAATATTAATAATGTATATAGTAGAGCAAAATCTTCAGATTTTGTTAGAGCATTATCTGGTATGAAGACTATGTTGACTAACCATTTTAGATCTCTAAAATGGTTAGTCAACATCTCTTTTAGATAAATAAGGGATCCGCATTTATTAGAAATAAATTAAATAAAAATAGTAGGTAAATAAAAATGTTGATTGTGAAGAAAAGAGTTTTTAAAAAGCATTTTATCGATGGATCCTTTTAGAGGTTTACTTAATAATAGATCGATTAATAATGCACTTAAAATGTCACTTAATTTAGCTAATAAAGCCATTGCTAGTGATTTAGGAAAAACTGCAATAGATGCTGCAAAAGTAGCAGGTAAAGAACTAGCTACAAATGCAATCTCTACTGCTAAAGATATTATAATAGAAAAAGGAAACAAGTTGATTAAAAAATCAAAGCTTAAACCTGAGAGTAAGCAAGTACTTTCAAATTTAGTTGAATCTGGAGCTAATGATCTTGCTCAAAATCTATCTAATGAAGTCACAAAAAATAAAATAGAATGATGATGGGATCTGCAATACCATCTAAAAAATTAAGCCATTCAAATGCTATTAAACTAGAAGAATTAGTAAAGAGAGGAAGAGAGTTAAATAAAAAATTAAGCCATTCATATGCTATTAAACTAGAAGAATTAGTAAAGAGAGGAAGAAAGTTAAATAAAAAATTAAGCCATTCAAACGCTATTAAACTTAAATTTAACAGAACAACCCTTTATTGATGAAAGTATTTCCAGATTTCAATTTGGAGAATATTTTCCACCAACTGGTACAAATATAAATGATACAATATCAATAAAAATTAATATTGAGATGACAGATTCATTTTTTCTTCCATCTAAAGCTTATATACAAGTTGAAGGAAGACTTCTAAAAGCAGATGGAACATCCTATGCTAATGCAGATGTAGTTACACTTACACACAATTATGCATTTATTTAGTAGAACGGAATATGATTTATCAGGACTGAAGATAGAAACAGTAAATAATTTAGGGCAAGCAACTACAATGTTAGGAATGCTCAAATATTCAAATAACTTACAATTAGCAGAAGGATTAAATCAACTATGGTACAAAGATAATGCAGCAGATGCAAATTTGACTACTAATGTCGGATTTGCAACAAGGCAATCTTACATTATTCAGAAACCTTATAATAAAGGTACATTTTCATTTACTATACCTTTAAAGCATGTATTTGGATTCTGTGGTGATTATTCTAAAGTACTTTACGGATTTAAACATACATTAACGAAAAAATCAAAAAAAAAATGACAATGATACTATTTTTAGATTTGCTACAGCAGCCGCAGGAAAAGTAAATCTTACAAAAGTGTCATTATGGATGCCTTATATCACACCATCAGATACAGAGAGACTTAATCTTAATAGTGTTATTAGAGAAAAAGTAACAATTCCAGTAGCTTTTTATTCTAGATCGTGTGAAACTACAACTCCTCAACAAACAACTAAAATGACTTGGAAACTTGGTGTTAAAAGTGATGAAAAACCTATTATATTATCGTAGGATTCCAAACAAATAGAGATAATGATCAAACACAAAATGCTTCAATATTCGATCATTGTAACTTGACAAATATGCAAGTCATGATTAATAATGTAAGATTTCCTGAAGCTGATTATGAACTATCATTTCCAAATCATCAATTTTCAAGAGCTTATAGAGATGCGTCTACTTTTAAAAAAAAATTTTATGGAAAAAATGTAATCATTTCAAATTGTAACATGACACCTTCAGACTATAAAGATTTATATCCACTTATAATTTTTGATTTAAGCAAACAATCAGAAAGATTAAAACCTTCAGTATCAGATAATCAAATTATAGCATACTTTAGTGCAAATGTTCCAGAAGAAACTGAAGCACTTGCTCTTGTCATATCAGAAAGATTAGGTAGACTAAGTCTAATGGAGATAGATTTAACTTCGAATATTAGTGATTCCAGATTTCATTAAAATCTAAATAAACTGTATAGAAAAAATTACATTTTATATAGAAAAGTTTATTAAAACTAAAATTAGATAAATAATTTTTAATTTTCTGAATAAAAAAGATATTAATAGAAAAATGTACAATAAAATTTTTTTTTTTGAAATGACATAAATATATTTTTTGCATATATAAAAAGAATGGAACACGAAATGCAAAACGAATCGTATAAAAAATAATGTAAAAATTTTTACAAAAGATTATTAGAATTAAAATTAGAACTAAGATTTAAAAAAAAACGGTCAGAAGAATTAAAATTAAAAATAAAAAAAATTAGAAATGAAATTAGATAAATTTCGTGAAGATGTATATGAATATTATGAATATAAAATGGAAGACTTAAAAAATAGAATAGAAGAATTAAAATGAAAAAAAAAAGACTTGGAAAATAGAATAGAAGAATTAGAAGAAGACTTAAAGTTAGAAAAATTGATATTAGAATTAATATTAGGAGAAAAAATATTAGAAGATTTAGTAGTAGAAGCAGGATCAGAAGATGATTTATATTTGCTATCATATTTAATATTTGATGAAAAAAGGTTAGAGTTAAAAAGATTAGAAAGAAGATTAGAAGAAAAATCATGTTTAATATCAGAAGAAAGAATGAATCAGTTAAGATTTGAAAAAGAAGTGTTAGAAGATTTAGAAGAAAGATTTAATTCAAGATCAGAATTAGTATTTGATCAAGAAAGAATGAATCAATTACAAGATATAGTAGGAGTGTGTGGTGGAAACGGATATAAAAAAGAAGATTTAAAAAGATTAGAAAAATTATTAATTGAAAATAAAGAAATATTATTAAAAAAATTAAAAGATCTTGAAAAAAAATAAAAAATATATACTAGAATTGAATATCATAAGATAATAGAATCATTAATAAGAAAATCATCAATAGCAGAAATAAAAATAATAGAATTAAAAAAAAGAAATAACGAAAGTAAAACGAGAACAAAAAATATTAGATTCAGAATGTGCAATAGTTGCTATTAAAATAATAGAATCAATATCAAAAAAATTATTTAAAAAATTTAAAAAATTAAAACAAGAACAAAAAGATTACGAAGAGATGGAAGAAAGAATAGAAGCAATAAGATTAGAAGACGATTTAAAACTAGTAGTAGAATCAGGATTAGAATTAAGAAGATTAGAAAGAAGATTTTCAATGATTTAAAAATACAATAATTTTTTTAAAAAAATATACAAAAAAACATTAATATTTAAATTATTCGAAAATAATTTAAATAAATTTTCTTTATATAATAAAAATGAGTGATAAAATAAAATATACAAAAAAGTATTTATTAAAATTACTAAAAGAAAATAATATACAACAAACATCTAAAGGTCACATTGCATTATTTATGATTGCTATGCATAATATAATAATTTAATTGATAAAGAATCTATACAATCAAATATCATTACTAAAAAACAAAAAAAACCAAAGATTGAAAAAGTAAAAAAAGTTAAAAAAGAAAAATTAAAAAAAGAGAAAAGACCTGTAGGAAGACCTAGAATTTATCCTATACAAGAAAAAAAAGAAAGAGATCCTAAATATGACAGGCTGACAAAAATTAGAACAAATCCAGCATCTATTAAACTAACTAATGTAGAAACAGGAAAAGTTAAAATATACAATTCTATATATGATTATATCAGAAAGGAAAAACATGGATATTTATATTTGCGTAATGGAAAAATTGAAAATGGTATAAAAATAGAATTAATAAAATCTAAAATAGATAAATATGATGAAAAAGAAAATGTAGAATAATTTATTTAAAAAAATTATTTTTATAGACTTTTTATATCTATAAAAATATGAAAAGAAATTTTTTAGTTTTTTTATTTTATTTTCTTTAGAAGAAAAATAAAAAATTTGAAAATGAGATAAATAATTTTCTTTTGTATATAAAATGGCAAATATTACTAATAGATTTTTTAATAAAATCAATTCACTTACAAATTGGGTTATGTCATATATTCCTATTAAAGAAATAGCTAATACGCAAATTAGTTCATTAAAATCTACAGTTTCTAATTTGTATGAAAAAGTAGGATTTAAAAGTAAACATGTTAAAAAACGTATAAAATCTAAAAAAGAAAAGGAGAGAGAAAAGAGAGAAATAGAATTTAAATTGACACAAATGGCTATTAAAAATGTGACAAAGCAATTTTCAGCTAAAGGTGTTGAAGAATGCTTTGTCCTTTATGAAATCAGCTAAAAATAATGTCATTCAAATACTGAATGTAAATAAAGGATCAAAAATTAATATCGTTTCTTCATGTGAAATGGAGCGTACTGATCTTAAATCAGGAGAAACTATAACTACTATTGCAACTTTTTCAACAAAAGCAGAAGCTGTTTTAGAATCGACAGATTTAAATGAGTTATATGAAAGAACTGAACAGAAAATTTTAGAATCCTTGTCCACATTTCAACAATTAGAATCAAGTTGGAGATTTGTTTCAGTTAAAAAGATGGACATTAATATCATTGAATATAAACCCATTAAAGGTAAATCTTACATTTCTTTTAATAAAGAGTCACCTACTAAAAATAATAAAATAAAAATAAAAAAATAATAAAAGTAATCATTAATATAAAAAATGAAGACAACGAATGCTTTAAGTGGTGTGTGGCTCGATTTTTTAATCCAAAAAATAATCATCCTGAAAGAGTAGATAAAAATCTAAAAGGACAAGCTGAGAAAATAAATTGGGAAAAAATAAAATTTCCAGTTTTACTCCTTTAAATTACTCAATTTGAAAGAAATAATCAAGACATAAGTATAAATGTCTTTGGATACGAAAGTTTGGTTTATCCTTTAAGAAGATCAAATGAGAAAAATAGACAACATCAAATAGACAACATCAGATTTATTACTCATTTCAAATGATGAAACTAATCATTATTGCTTAATAAAAAATTTAAGTAGATTACTTTCATCACAAATATCTAAAAATGAACATAAAATGTTTTATTGTATAAATTGCTTACAATGGATTTAGTACTGAAGAATCTTTATCAAAGCATAAATTGTATTGCGACACTCATGATTCAGTACGTATTGAACTTCCAGAGCCAAATACAATGATAGAATTTGAAAATTATAACAAGACTATAAGAGTACCATTTGTAGTCTATGCAGACTTTGAAAGTATTATTACACCTATCAAGACTTGCACACCTAATCCAAATGACTCTTATACAAAACAATATCAAAGACATACACCAAGTTCATTCTGCTATTATATTAAATGCTTTGATGAAAGTATTGATAAAACTATTGAAAAAAATATTGGTCATAGCATACTAGCTACATTCACTGCAGATAGTGAAGATGATGATGTAGCACAAATTTTTGTTGATAACTTAGAGGCTGATATTAAAAAATTTATAACACTTATTTAAAATTTCCCAAAAAGATGGTATTTACACCTGAAGACAAAGAAAATTTTAATAATGCAAAATTATGCCACATTTGTGAAAAAGATCTTTAAGAAGATAAAATAAAAGATCATTGTAATACTACAGGTAAATACAGAGGCGCTGCTCATAATGATTGTAATTTAAATTATAATATTTCAAAATTCATACCTGTCTTTTTTCATAATTTTACTGGTTATGACTCTCGTTTATTCATAAAGAAATTATAAGGAGATGGAAAATCAGAACGAGGAAAAATAAATTGTATACCTAACAATGAAGAAAAGTATATTAGCTTTTCTAAAGAAATTAAAGTTAATAAATATACTAATAAAAAAAGAAAAAAAGTTAAAGTTAAAAGAGAAATACGTTTTATCAATAGTTATAGCTTTTAGTTTAGATGAATTAGTAAAAGATTTAACAAAAGATAAATTTAAAGAACTAGATAAGAATATTAAAAAGTTGCATTCAGGTAGTGAACTAGATTTATTACTAAGAAAAGGTGTATAACCCTATGATTGGGTTGATTCTATTGATAAATTGTCTGAAACACAATTACCAACAAAAGAATTATTTCATTCAAGATTAATTGATAAAGGAATAAGTGATGAAGATTACTCACATGCGCAAACTGTATGGAATGAGTTTAATTGTAAAACATTTAGAGATTACCATAATTTATACAATGTTTCAGATGTATTGTTATTAGCTGATGTCTTTGAAAATTTTAGAGATCTTTGCATGAAAAATTATAAATTAGATCCTGCTTGGTACAATACTTTACCAGGATTAGATTGGAATGCTGCATTGAAGAAAAAAAAATTGAATTAGAATTACTAAGTGATTAAGACATGATCTTAATGCTTAAGATCATGTCTTAAAGCAAGGAATAAGAGGTGAAATTAGTATAATTTCTAACAGGCTAGGAACTGCTAATAATAAATATATGGAAAAATATGATGAAAGTAAAGAATTAAAATACATACAGTATTTAGATGTTAATAAATTATATGGATGGGTTATGAGTAAACCCCTTCCTACACATGGGTTTCAATGGATGAGTGAAGAAGAATTAAAAAAATTGGAAATCAATTTCTTGTATATTAGAAGTAAATTTAAAATATCCTGAACATTTAAATGATGCTCATAATGATTATCCATTTGCTCCTGAGAGATTAAAAATAGACAAAGTTGAAAAATTAGTACCTAATTTAAATCACAAGAAAAATTATATCATTCACAATGAAAACTTGAAATTGTATGAAAGATTAGGATTAAGATTGACTAAAATTCATAGAGGAATAAAGTTTAAAGAGAGTGCATGGCTAAGTGAATACATTAAACTCAATACAAATTTAAGAAAAGAAGCAAAACCTGAAAAAGACTTTGAAAAAGAATTTTTTAAACTCATGAATAACTCAGTATTTAGAAAAACAATGGAGAATATTAAAAACAGAGTTGATGTCAGATTAGTCACTGAAAGAGAAAAAGCTATTAAATTAGCATCAAAACCCAACTATGAAAGTAGGACTATGTTTGATGAAAACTTAATAGCGATACATATGAAAAGAACAAAACTAGTTTATAATAAGCCTATTTACTTGGGTATGTGCATTTTAATTTAGAGTAAGACATTGATGTATGAATTTCATTATGATTACATCAAAAGTAAATATGGAGATAAAGCAAAACTATTATTCACAGACAGATTCTTTAGCATATGAAATAAAAACAAAAGACTTTTATTCAGATATTAAAAACGATCTTGAAAGTAAATTTGACACTAGCGAATTTGACAAAAATCATCCAGCTACTCAAAATGATTTAAAGTAGGGCTAAATAAGAAAGAATTAGGAAAGTTTAAAGATGAATTAGCAGGAAAACAAATTGAAGAATTTATAGGAATAAGGTCGAAGTTGTACTCTTATAAATTACAAGAAAAAGACATAGTTCCAATAACTGATGAGAAATATAAAAATCCTAAAAAATGTAAAGGAGTAAAGAAGATTGTTGTTGAAAAATATATAACACATGAAGATTATAAAGATTGCTTTATGAATAAAAAAGATCAAATGAGAAAAATGAATGTCATAAGATCTCATTGTCTGATGTTTATACAGAAGAAATAAACAAAACAGCACTCAGTGAGAAGATGATAAAAGAATTATTTTAGAAGATGGAATTCATACATTGGCATATGGACATTATAAATTAATTCTTATAGATCCGAAGGATCTAACGAAGTCAGGATCCCTTCGGGATCTTAGTATAGAGAAAAAGAAAACCAACTTTTCATTTCAGATTGATTGGAAATAAACAGACACACGCAGGCAGGCACAACGAGGTTGACGTGTCTCAAATAAAATAAAAAAATAGGTAATTTTTTAAAAATCATTTTAAAAAATCTAACAAAGTCTTGATTTTATTATAAAAAAATCTAAAACTATTAATAAAAATTAACAGAAGAATTAATGTTGAAGGAATCATATTACCCAATGAACCGCTAACAAACTTTAAATTAATAAAAGCAGCAAAAAATTTAAAAATAAAACATTTTAGAGGTGTATTTGTAAGTGATAAATTACCAAAAAATACACAAAAAAAAGAATGTGGAATATTAAATACTGGAGATTCAAGTACAAATGGATTTCATTGGATTTGCTGGTATAAAGACGGAGATGATAAATTAAGTTTTGACTCTTATGGACTACCACCTCCAGTTGAAGTTGTTTAATATTTACACAGTCCTGTTTACTATAATACTGAACAATTTGGAACTATAATACTGAACTTCAATTTGGAACTATAATACTGAACTTCAACTTACTATAATACTGAACTTCAATTTGGAAATACTTCCTAATGCGGACACTTGTGTCTTAATGTCTTAAAAAAACTAATTGATGGAAATGAATTTCAAAGCATCATCAATTCACTTTGGTAAAAACAATATAAATAAAAATAATGAGTATATAAAATGAGTATCGATATATTTGGTGGTAGTTCACTTAATGGTATAACTGCTTTTGGTAGCACATCAGGTTGCAGTTTAAATCTTAATATTAATATAAACAATAAAGCGACTTGAGACGTTGATCTCAATACACATAAACTCATTAATGTTGTTGATCCAACTAAACCTCAAGATGTTGCTACAAAGCATTATGTAGATAATAATCAAACTCCTAGTAATTTATATATCAGAACTGATGGATAAAATAGTGCGACTGCTGACATTAATCTAATCATAATCAACATTTAGATATCTAAGTACAACTTATGGTAGTGAATATATGCTAATAAATGCTATGGATAATGGAAACGGAGTGTATTTGAAATACCTTAGAATGCATATCATTGGAGGATCTGGAAACTGGTGGGAATCTAGAGTACGTATATACGATGGATATGTACTTATAAAATGTACGTATAAATATGATGTAAACTATGTACTGTATATAAGATTGTAAAGATTTAAAAAAAAATAAAACAAGAAAATAATCATAATAACCTACCTCTTACATTTATCAACTTTTTTAGTTATAGGGAAAATTGTAAATATATTCTACGATCTGCTTTCAACTTTAAATTATCTGTACATGTACGAACCCATACAACATAAAAGCATACGAAACAATCTTCCTTCCCAAATAAAATCTCTTAAATCATTCTCAAAATTTAAAACTGCTCTTTTTAACTATTTTTTAGAAAAATATTGTTTATAAATCTTTATATCTTTTTACAACTTATTAATTATAAAAATCACGCGGAGCTTCTATTCATCTATTATTTTTTTCTCTTTTCTATTGTGGTATATTACTTATTTTAATATCATTTATTAAATTTATTATTTTAAACTGAAATGTTTCAATAGTATTCTCTTTATCACTATTGTTGTTATAATTACTATATTTTTATCATAGTGAATAATATTATTATTGTTGTTGCTATTATTGTTGATGTTATTATTGTTGTTGCTGTTATTATTTTTGTTATCATTATTGTTTTTATTCTTGTTATTACTATTATTATTTTTGTTACTATTATTGCTATAATTATTATTATTATTATTGCTATTATTATTATTATTATTATTATTATTATTATTATTATTATTATTATTATTCATAATTTTATATTTTTTATAATCGCTACTATAATTTTTTTTATTACTATAATCACTACTATTACTTTATTATTCCTACTTGTATTATAATTGTTATTATTATCTCAATCTTATTTTTATTTAGTCTGACAGGTGTTTACTTTTTATTAGTAAAAATTACTATTTGTAAATATCCTTGATATATATAACAACTATATTCAGAATATATTTGATTTGATTTGATTTGAGAATTATTTTTTTTTTTTTGCGCAGCAAACTGAGACAACAACAACTGAAAAAATAATAACGTTGCGAGTAAACATCTCGTGTCTAATTATTTAGTTCTTTATGTGTCGGGTCTTTTTAAAGCACAACACGGTTTTTACAAAGTAGGAATATAAACAGCTATATTAAAATACTGAAGGTTGATGCAAACGCTGCCTAATATTCCCTTTTTTAAATTAATAAAAATAAGTAACGTTTTAAAACAAATAATAAAATGTTGATGTCAACTTTTCTTGACCTGCCCCACCTCTTTGTCAAGAGTTCTCAAAAAACTTCAGACCTTTCCTCCCACTATTTTATTGACGTAATTAATGAGCAGCCCCTTCTTTGTTTTATTATTTTCTTGTTTTCTTGTTTTTTTAATCTTTACGTTCGTTTATACCTTTCATTATTTTTTCTTATAAATTTACGAAAAATACTCTATTTTTTAAGTCTTGTTTCAATCTTTTTCATCTTATTCTTTATTTAATCTTTTTTGTTCTTTAAAATAATTCCCTTGTGAAAAGGAAAAAGAGAGAAAAGGAAAGTTTTTCCTTTTCTCTCTTTTTCCTTTTCACAGTTACATAAACGCTTCCGCTGCCATTGTAAAGATTGTATGTTATGTGAGTGATTAACGATTAATGAAAGTTAAAGTTATATTGATATTTAGATATAATAGTACTATTATTACATTACATATATCAATTAGATTTTTTTTATTAATTAATTATATAGGCACCCTCACAAGCCAATTAAAAATGTGTTTTTTTAAAGTGTTTTAGCTTATCCTATAGATAATATCCATTTTTTAATTTGAGGTTCTGTTGAAAAAAATGCAGTTTATGCTTTTGTTTTGCTCATGCTCACGTTTTGAAAATCTTTACTAAGTTCATTGATTATGAGAATAATATTAATAAACAAATATGTTTTCATCAAACAAGATCATTAAGCGAGATATTCATCAAGTAAAATATTCATAAAAACAATTACATTTTGTACGCAGACAACCTGCGACATGTTTACTGCATGATAACATTTTCCGCTTTGAAGAATATTTATCATTTTTTAATTTTGTCTAAGAGGGTTCTTAGTAGAAACATGTAAGTATGCTAAATATGTAATGTAACTATGTAAATATGTAAATCAAACTGAAGTAAGGATTCACATAAATTGCTATAATCTTGATAAAACGAGACCAATTTCTAGAATATTTTAAAAATAGAGAACCTTTATTTTTGTTTTGTTTAGGAGACGGAAACGTGATACAAAATACAAAAATACTTCAATATCCCCTACCCAAAATCTCTGGATCCGTCACTGAACGAAACCCCATTTGCATTGTTTAATTATTTAAAAACCACACCGAAACCATTTTTTAAATTATAATATAAAATAACCAATTAAAATAACTTTGATTACCATGAAGCCCGAAATTTTGTAAAAAAATCATGATAAAAGTTGACAACAAAAATGTTTTTTAACTTTTTTTTTAACTGGTTTCAAATAATTTCCAAACCCAGGAATTTAGTTTTAATGTTAGTTTAATAATTCAGTGTCAAACCTCATGAGACTTTTTGACTGTTCAAATTCATGCCAAAAATTGTTTTCTTAAATAATTATTTTTCAATTTAAATTTTAATTCTAATTTGTTCAAATGTAATTTTTTTTTTAGATATAATGTACTTCCTGACGCTATTGACAATAACGGTAGTTGTTGTCTTAGGAACAACTGCAGCTAAGCGAACGTTGGTGCGAAAAAATTTGATAGAGAATGTTTCAAGTAGCTTTCAAAAAAATATAGACGAACTCAAAAAGGTTAGAATTAAAAAGTTTTTTACTTTTTAGTATCCATTCCAATACTTTTAAATTAATTTTTGAATACTAAGTGCACGTATTTATAAAATATATGTACTTAAAGCATATGTAAAGTATACTCAAACATTGGATACTTTAAAAGCGGCGCTAAAATATACTTTGCGACATTGTAATGGAAGGATCTTACTGTTTTCCAGTAGGCACAGTACACAGTATGTTTTTTAAACATTCTTTAGACGCTTTTATTGGATTTAAACCTAATAAAAAAAACCCTCAATTTGAGGGGGCTACAAATTTTATATAGTCATAATTTTTAAACGCTGAGAGGTGAGGGGGGGGGTTGAGGAACAAACTGTCTCTCGCGCATTCCTTCTCAACAAAACTACTGAGAGATAATACTATAAAACTTCAAATTTATCGATGATTATAAATTGACAAATGACAAAAAAGTTTATCAACTTGCTGTCCCTCACCTTTGGGGTGATGAGGTCCAATCATTGCATTTTTATGCAAAGCATCATTGATTGAGATAAGTATAAACATACAAATGTTCAAATTTGACTCCATGTCTAGAAGTTGGCTTCTAGACAAGGAAAATATATATACATTTTAGTATTTTAAGAGAAAGTGGTTGTCACAACTTTTAAGATTAACAGTCCACAATTAACAGTTACTACTAGAGCTATGTTTTTTAAAAAAAGTTTTAGATATCATTAGGCCTGTTGAAATTTGTGTTTTTTTGATGACAAAGTAATTTACAAGGGGCTCTTAAACTGTAGAATAGTACTCCATTATGTCATAAACAAATTTAAAAATCATTTCTTTTAATATTTATAGTCAATTTTTAAAAGATTTATATAGATAGAGATCCCATTACGATACAAAGTCATTATTTATTGACGCTCAAAAATGACACTTAAAACGATATATTATCTGGTCTAATAAAGTGTGATTTGGACCATTCGATGCATTATGTTGGTTATAATTATTATTTTGTTTATTTTTCAAGTAAAAGTTTTTTCTCTATGTTTTATACTCTTTATTTACCTTTTTAATGATGCTCATAGAGTGTATCAAGGTACCCGAAGGGTGGGGTACTTTGTAAGAAAATCTTAATTTTACTTTAAATAGTCTCACAAGTTTATCCTGTTATAGTTTGGTAATTTATAAATATATCAACATATAGTTTAAACTTACCTTATGTAAATGATTTCTACGATTTCTCAAGTTATTTCCTCAAACATAAAAAGTATATGAGTGCATCGTGTTGAGACGGTCTAATGGTTAGATTAACGTGAATAAAAAATGAATGAAACGTTTAAAGTTATTTCCAGAATTTTTTGTATTTGTTTACAACTTTTAGAACTTTAAGCCTAAACTGTCTGAAGAGCCTAAATTTATCCAAAATAATACTAAAATACCGTTCTATAATGATATCTAGCAACCCTAGTGCATATACTTAGTCGTACTTCAAAATATTTATTACGCGTATTATAAATTCTGGGGCTTTTTAATATGGCGATATTGGCTTCTAAAAATTTTTTAGGGAATGCGTTCCAAAGGTATTAGGGAGATCAGTGTTCTGGGACTAAAACCGAGGTTACCATTTGCGTCAAACTTTTGTGTTCTTTTTTTTTATTATTAAAGTTTACATGAAAGAATTGGCAATCAGTAATAATTTTTAAATTATGGATTACGGATGTTTGTATCTAATATCTTGAGTTATACACCTTTTTAAGATGTATTTGAGGACATAAAAATAGTTATTAAAAAATTGAAATCTATGATTGAGAAGCACAAGATGTAATTTAGAAATCATAAAATGTAAATGAGAATATATAATTTGTAATTGCAAACTCACAATTTGAGCTTATAAATCATTATATAAGGTTTTCTGGAACATGAATTTGAATAAGTTAATAATATTATATAATGCATTTGTATGCACCAACAATAACAATGGAATTGAAAGATTGTTGTGTTATTTGTTAATACACTATGATTCGAAAGTCTGCTATTAAATTGAATCCGTGTCAACATTTATTTCACCAAATTAGCTTATATCCGCTTCCTGAACAACCTAAACCAACTTTTTCAATTTGTCGGCATGAAATACATACAACCGAACAAGTTGAAAGAAAGCATTACACTTTATCTTTATCAAATGACAGAAGAAAAGTTGCTGAATGTGTTGAGCTAAGTGACAATTGGGTGACTCAGGTGCATTTTTTAGGGGTCAAATGTATGTTAGCTTTTAATTGGGTTTGCAGTGGAAATTCAAATTTTAGCGGAAAGAGGTGGTTTTAAACCAAAATAATTCACTGAGGATTAAAAGAAAAAAATTATGACAATTTATCAAAACAAAAACATTAAGACAATTTAATATTAGCGTCAGCACAACAGCAACCGCCAATTGCCTCCAATTGTTTTCATTAAAAAAATTGTACAAGGTATTTTCTACAAAAAACAGTAATTAAAACAAACAAAAAGAACTGAATATGTTAGGGACATCAACGAACAAGTCACAAATATTTATCAGATAGTTTTGTTGGATGAAACAAATTTTACACTTTTTTGTAGAAAAACGTAAGGACATGCCAACAGGAAAGAAGAGTATTAATGAAAATGCCTACTTCAAAAGGTGCAAACATACATTTGATTGCAGCTATATCAACAACAAATGTCGTAATGATAGAAAGTTGCAGAGGATGATTTAATGCAGATTCTTGTAACGAGTAGATGTTGATTATGTTTCACCAGTGGGTTAGATGGGAAACTTTAGAGGATTTATTCATCGTATTAGACAATGCTCCATGTCACGCTCGTTCGGAAAGGGTTCTAAACGTAACAACTGAGCTGGTGAAAATTCACCAGCTCAGTTGTTACGTTTAGAACCCTACAGTGCAATGTTGAATTCGGTGGAAATAATCTGGTCTTAAACTAAAAGTATCTTTTAAAATACGATTTGCATTTCTCCTGTATTCAGTGCTGAGATTGTGGAACAACGAGTGCAGTATTTAAAAGGAATCGGTACTGCGGCAAAAAAAATACAATATAAGTCGGTAAAAAGATGTCCAAGTTGGTGTTTAACTGAATATTGCAATAGTTTTGACATTGTTTAAATTCAATTTAACTTTTTGTTATATTTAAATCTTTTTCAATTCAAATTTTTTTGTAAATAAACTTTAGTTAATAAACTACGTTTTATTTATTATTTATCTGATTTCTCAAATGAACTTTTCACAAACGAAAAAAAAAAGAAAGTTCTAACTAACACCCATTAGGATTTTCGAGTTACCACCAAAAACGCAAATCCTTTTTCATCACTTTTTTATTTTATTGATATTATATTATTATTTATTGAAACCCAAACCATATTGCCATCTTCACCAAATTTGAAACTAACCTTTAAAGACAAAGTAAATTAAAGCAACAAAATTAAAAATACAAAAAAATTTGCTCTGAGAATCTATTGAAAATTTTTTTTTCTAGTTATAACTATTATGTTTTCAATTACATCTTACGTTTCTTAATTACAACTTCTATCTTCTCAATTACATCTTAAGTTTCTTAATCAAGTTCTCAAATACATCTTGAAAAGGTTTAGTAAAACGTTTTCTTATGACTTTAGCAAAACTTTTGCAAAAAAAAGTTTTGCTAAATTATACTGTTATTCTTTAGCTATTATTAAAGATCTATTTATATTATTACTTCGGGCTTATCCTTCGTCACTTGCTTACTTGTTTTACTGCAATACTTTACTGAGAAATTCCGTTGTTTTCCTCCCATCCATAATGGTTGCTATTTAAGCCGATTTATCCGAGAAACTTTGTCCCTAACTTTCAAATACGATTGGTATTATGCAAATACAATGCCATCCAAACTAACTTGAAAGCAAACTAATTTTCTGCAGAAAAGCCAACTTTTTCGAGAGGTGAAAACCTTTTAGTGGGGCCTCCCAATAAATTTTTAGCAACAAAACGTTTATTTTTTTGCCTCCAGTGGCTTCCACTTTTCTATTAGCGACCGCAGCCTGAGTATTATTGTGGAGGAAATATATTTTGGAGACCACCGCCAATAGGAAGACGGCAGCCATTAGTAGCCACCTCCAAAAAATTATTTAGGCATATTATTTGGAGGTTGTCTCCAATAGCTTCTTCTTCCCAGCCAAGGGTGGATTTAGCATTTTTTAGTCTTTGAGCTAACTTCCAGACATAGAGCAAACTCTAAACATTTAAATGTTTATAGTTATGTCAAATAAGGTTGTGTACAAAAAGTTGCGATGATTGAAACCTGGGAATAAAAAAAATTGACAGCATTAAGTTTTTAAAATATCTTTTGTACTATTCTAAACTAAACTTATTCTTTGATAAACTATAAGTTTCATAGTATCATCTTTCGACAATTTCATAGTATCATCTTTCGACATAGTATCAGCGTTCAACAATTATGACCATATAAAATTTGTAACCCCCTCAAATTGAGAGGGGTTTAAACTTTATATGATCATAATTTTTGAACGCTGAAATATTTTACTATAAAATTTATTATTTATTGACTAGTTAAAAATGTTTTACCAACTTGTTGCTCTCAAGTTTGCGGTAGAAGGAGAGCTGAAAACAATTCGGAGTTTTTTGTTCCCAGGCTCCAATCATCGCAATTTTTTTGCAAAGCATCCTTATTTGACATAAGTATAAATATATAAATGTTTGGAGTTTGCTCTATGTCTGGAAATAATCTCAAAGACTAAAAAATGCTAAATCCACCCCTAACTAGCTGCGGGCGCCAATTTGGAGGCGGAAATTTGCTTCCCGCTGTCAAATGTAATAAAAATAATTTCCCGTTTGTTATTAAGTTAACAAACAATTAAAATATTAATAAGTTAAAAATTTGGCATTTTTGTTTTGTTTTATAACTTTTAAAAAGTTTTAAACTTTTAAAATTTTAAAGCTTTCAAAGCTATCAGTTTATGTATGTACAATACTCTGCGACTCTAGTAA